TTCTTTTATAGATAAAGAAACAGGTTCAAAGAGAATCAGTATCTTTTCTGGGGTCAAACAGAATATTAGTAGCAAAGCTAAGTGTGGATCTGTCTCTGGAATCCAGCATATGCGCTGTTACTGTGTTTATTGTATTTTGTGTTTTTGAGACAGGGTCTCGCCATACAGTTCAGGCTGGCCTTGAGTTCATGTTGTAGCCCAGGCTCAACTCAAATTTGCAAAGAATCCTCCTATCTCAGCCTCTAGAGGGCTGGGATTACAGGTGTGCACTACCCACTGTGTTTATTAAAATGGCCTCTGACTGTTGCATAGTGAGACATCATGAGTGGCCATTCTTTAGGACATGGCCTGGCACTGTTTGAACTCTTTGAAAGCATACTCTACACCTTTTCCATCCCATGAATGTCCAGTTTTGCCCCTACGCTGCTGTCTGCCCTGACATTAGAACTGTGACTGTTCTGGAATAAAAACTTATTGAGCTTGTAGGATATTTTAGGCAAGGAACAATTTCAGAGCAAAATAGATTTTTATTTAAAAAACCTAGAAGAATGTTGGTTGGATACAGTATGATATAGAGAAAAAGCATCAGAAAGCCTGGGTTGACAGCATGGCTGAGCTATCTACAGAAAATGGGATCCAGGGGAAATTACCCAACTTTCTGAATCTTAATGAAAACTATAATAATAAAAAATACACACCCCATAGGTTTATGGGTATTGAATAAAGTAGCATATGTGAATGCCTGGGAAAGTTAACAGGAGACTCAACCAATATAAAATCCATTTATCTTGCCATTGTTGGAATATAAATCATTTATGGGATCTGAAAGCTGAGTCCAATAAAAAGTGAAAAGCGGTGCTCAGGAGAGAAAGCTGGGTGTATGGTTGGGAAGGCCCCGGAAAAGCAGAGCTGGTCTGGGGGAGGCAGAATTAAAGATGAGGGTCAGTTGTTATTGGTGAAACCTAGACCTGTGCTGTAATAGAAAAGTTCCCGAAGTCTGGCTGGAATGCGACTGACAAAGTCAAGCATACTATCAAAACAAAAACAAAAACAAAATTGCCATGATGAAAAGAAGTGATCTTTGCAGCGTTTGTGAAAGAGAAATAATCTAAACAGTCTTTTTTATGAAGTTATTTCTTTTGGTTCTGACTTTTGGCTGCAATCTGCATCTTTTTCACATTTCTTTTGAATGCCCCTTTTATTTCTCAAAGCTATTTTTTTTTTGTACTGGAGATCAAACTGATGACCTCCTGCTTGCCAGGCAGGCACATATGCTGCTGAGCTACACCCCTGGCTCCCTCTAATCTATTCTTAACAATCACAGCCAGTGCTATGCTGGCACAGATCTTGCCAAGCCTCGTGAGATGCAGGGAAGGGCGCAGGGGAGAGCTGGGTCATCTCTCCCGAGCTTAAACACTGCGCTCCAAAGCAGAATTCAGTCAGGATCATTCAAATAAGTGTCCCTTGTTTCCTTCTCTCCAAAACACTCCCGGCCACAGCTTCCTGCCTGGCTCTTCCATTTTAACCCTCCCGCTTGGATGGCACTGTGCTCCTGGCACAGCTTGAATGGCTTCTCTCATCCCCTCTCCCTCACCCCCTCTTGGGCTCTGTCATCTGCGGTTGTCAATGCAGAGATCCCAGTGTAGCTCCTGGTGGGGGGAGCTGAAATCACTGCCTGCCCCTGCCCCATGGGGTGGAAATGCCTCCCCAAACCAACTCTGCTTTTCTTTGGCCTCCCCAGCCTTACACCCAGCTTTCTTTCCTCGGGCCACCTCTGATCTCTTTCTCTTTATCCAACCTTTCACGCCTATGCAGTCAGTATTCACCCTCCTCTGTGAGGCCTGGGATGTTCTATCATGGAATGAATTTAACATTTCATCAACATGACTGGCATAAACTAGGCTTGGCACTAGCCCGTGTCTACTTTCTGTAATATTACTTTTCATCTTGTTACCCTACTCCTGCCTGTCCTCCGTACTCAGAGCCTTGTGCGGCTCCATTATTACCCAGGACTTACCACCTCCTTCCACTTCTCCTCTCCTCCTGGGAGGAAAACTTTTAATCAGCTAGTCTGCACAAACACACCAAAGACTACTGTTTGATGCTTATACCCAGCACATGGGCTTTTATTTTTCACTGTGGAATCTGACACAAAGCCAGCATAGGGAAAATATTTCCAATTAAATTATTCTAGTGCATTCTGCTCTTCATCTGGCTTCAAAGTCACCATCAAAATAAAATTAAGAGGCCTACTGTGCTCTGTACTCTGCTACTTCTCTGCCCATTACCCAGAACCTCACCACCTTATTCTACCAGAGTCTCTGGGACCAATTCCTTGATGTCCTCCATGGCTGTGCCTGTAGGTTGCTGTAGGACTGTATCAGGCACTATTATATGGACTGTTCCTATGGACTCCATATGTCCCTAAGTCTGACCTAATCTCTTGTTATTCTGGTGCTCAAGTCCTTGACTTATTCCGCACATCCACCTTCCACAGTGCCCTGAACTCCTCAGCTCACTTCTCAGTGACCTTTATGTGGATTCTCCCAGATATGATGCCAGCAGCCCCCCTTTCATGGACTGTCTTTCCCCAATTCACCTACCACAAAGCCTGAGGAAAGGCATGTGTTGCCTTTGGTCTTTGTTGCCACTTCTGTTCACTTTAATGCCTTCCTGAAGTCTGAAGATCTCGGAGCCACTCACTCTTGTTCTGTGAAGTCTTTGGTGCTACCCCTGTCTTTCACAATACCCCACCTCCATCCTGATGCTTGGTAATTTCAGGGTCCACATAGAGCCCCTTCCCACCCTGGCCTCTCACATTCCTGACTCCTTTGCAGTGTTCCTATCCTAACTCAGCCACCCATTAACCTCACCCTTGTGTGTAACCACATACTCCACAAGATGTAGTTCCCAAAGCTTTCCCTCTCCTTCTGTTCCACTTTGTCTCTCCAGGTCTCTCTCTTCAGCCTTCTAGGTCCAACCATTCCTCCATAGCCACCAGGCCCTGGATTCTACTGTCTTTTTCACAGTTGCTCACTCCTCACATCACCATGTCCTTCCCGTCCATCTTACTCACCACGGCATCTCTCTGGGACCCCTTCCTTGCACACTCTCCCATTCCATGCTGGCATCCTCCGCCACATTCACTGGGCCAAACCATAAACTTAACTTGATACGACCCTTGTGCACTGACTTTGCAAAGCCACTGAATCTGGGAAGAAAAACAATGCCAACAGTCCTATTTGAATGCCAGGAGCACTAACCTTGGCTGAGTCATGGGTGATGCTCAAGGATCCTTAATAGGCAGAAGAGCATGGGTGGGCTGATGGAGGCAGTTGATGGTTCAGGTCCACACTTGCCCCTCATAAGCTATATCATTGGGACGCTTTCATTTTCTTCACCTCAACCTTTTCATCTGGGAAAAATGGGAAGAAAAATAGTAATTACCTCTGGGAAGGCATTAAGCATTGAATGAGTTAATACATGTAAAATGTTTAGAAAACACCTTGGCATATAGTAACACCATTTAATAGTGACTTATTGCTGTCATCATATTATTTATTACTATCATCATAGTACATTTCTCAGGCCCACTTTCCTTTTCTATTTTTTATTTTTATTAGTAGATGTTTGCAGAGCATCATGATCACATTCGTTGTGGAGAGTTAGTGTACGTACATAACACATCTTAATACTTATTTCAGCTCCTTCCCCTCTTTTCCTCCCTCCCTCCTACTCTTGCCCCTCTTCCAGGATTTAGCTCCCCGCATCCTATTGTCTGGCTTTCATTTTGCTTTTCTCATTCTAAGCATACCTAAGCTGTATCCATCTTATCCCGGGCATTTTTGTTACAGTGCATGAGGTCTCTGTGCCTCTACCAAACACTTGACTTGTGCTCTGGGTCCCCCACTTCTCAGGGACATCTATCCAGCATTCCCCACCACTCTCCAGCCTTGTGATTCAGTAGACCATCCCAGGTATCAGTTCTTGTAGTATTGGGTCTTCCTTACCTACCAAGGCTCTCATCCCTCTTTCCGGCAAAACTCCTGCTTCAGGCCTCTTCTTTCTTGTTTCCCATTTCCCCCCACACTCACTACTCTAATGTTTTTGTCCACAATGTTCCATGAAAGCTCTTCTTATCAGGATTACCAATGTGCATTATGTGGCAAAAAATCATGCTAATTTCCTATTTCTTATTTAATTTGTTCCCCCAGTAGAAGCCAGTTACTTCCTCAGAACATTTTTCTCTATTGGCTTCCAGTACACCAAGCCGTTGTTTTTCTCTTCTTTTCTTCTTGGCCATTCCTCCTTGGGCTCTTTTGCTGTTTCTTTCTCAAATTCTTGACCTTGGAATACTGCAGGATCTGAGAACCCAGCCGTTGGCCTTCTTTTCATCTCTACTTATGATGACTCCCTTGGGAGTCTCATCCAATCTCAAATGTCAGATACCATCTCTAGGATCAGGATACTCATACTCCCATAGCTGTACCCTCTATCTCTAATATCCTGAGGAATCACTAGTACTTGCACATTTCAGCTCAAATTTCACCTTATGGACAGGCCTTCCCAAGCCACTGTAAATAAAATACTGTACATCCTCCATCATTCAATCTCCTTACTTTGTTTTATTTTCCTAGCATTTTTCTCCCTGTAACACACACATATTTGTACTCATCTTTTGAGAACAATCAAAAGGCCATGACTTGAGCTAAATAGCAAAATATTACGCTATTTAAAGAATATGCCATAGTTTGAATTATAGTTAAAGAGGATAGAATTTCCAAAATTCTGATTGAAAGGCTTTTTAAAATATCTGTATGTTAAATATTTGACATCTTTGAAGTTCATGCACAATAGATTCTGATGCTTCAGATCCCTTAAACAGGGGACTGTAAAATCTAAGAGACATTTCCATGTAGGCAATAGATGTATTTAGCTAATAGATGTTAAAATCCACCATGTTTCCATGGTGAAATGAACTCTTAATTTCTGTTTTAAAGGAACCCAGCTGTTCACCCTCCAATACCACCAAAGCCCAATTCTCCTATTTCTTCTCCTAAGCAGCTGAGACAGAAGAACAGGTAAGACCTATGCTGCAGGCTTTCTTGCCAAACTTGAGTTCATGGGGAATGAGAGAAAAGATATTGTTACTTGCTTTATGCAAAACATGATATATTTTGGGTGCACATTCACTAAAGAAGCATTCGTAGAGCTTTTCCTTCCTGTCTGTAAACTTGTGTATTTATTTATGTTTGCTCTTGAATGCTGATGCCTATTATTTTATAGAAACAGATCTTTAAAGTACAAATGGTGTAATATTTATGTTCGAGAAGTATTTGTGCTTAGGCTTCTTACATATTAGCTTCAAATGTACACATATAAATATATATGTATTGGATATATATATGTATCTTATACATCTGCATTATAAATATGAATTATATTTAATATAAACATTATAACATGAACATTATATGGAATATAAATATACTATATAAATATTATATTTAATATAAATCATATAATTTTATATAAGTCTACAATATAAATATAAATCATTAAATATGAAACATTAAATATTAAAACATAAATCATATATATGTTAAATGGTTACATTAAGAGTTACATTACATACTTTAAAACCTCTGTTACTACTCAGGTCCTCTATGTCAGAAAAGTTTTATGTCGTTCTTTAATATTTTTAGCTAAGGAATTCTCAATTTATTTTAAACTATGCAAATTTTGAACCATTTTCTAATTAACTTGTCTCAGAATCAGGAAAAATAGACTTGCTTTTCCACTTTAAATCTCTGCCACTTTATCATTAATACTTAGACACCAACTCAAAGACCTGAAAATCTTCCCATGGTTCTTGTTAAACTGTTTAATAATCTTGAACCATTTTGAAAGATGTAACTTCCACATTTCCATTATTACTGTTGAGACTGAAAAATGGTATCTCAGGAAAGACTGAATACATTAGATCTGCTTGATTGCCTGCCTTTGATTCTTTTGTACTTGTACTTCTTGGTGGTGATTTTTTTTTTTTTTTGACACAAAGCAAGACACAATTGTAGAACTATTCTTCAATAAGTCACCATTACAGAACTGTTCTTTAGTAAGGGGGTAACCAGCTAGAAAGTGCTGACTGTGAGGTAGGACCGTGTAACAGGAGGCATTCATCCTGTTGAGAGAAAACTGACCTTCTATTCAGTGATGCTTCACAGGATCTTTGGAAGTTTATTCTTAGGATGAGAGCATAGTTATTTTAAATGAGTCAAGAGAACGTTTCTTCACTGAACTCACTAATAATATAGATTAGATTTATGGCTTTTCACTTGTACAATGGTTATAATTATCTCATAAAAATAACTTTTCAAGCTTCTTATTTCACCTGATTTTTCCTTTTACTCTTATAGCATTGAACAATTAAATCTCAATTTAAACAGGAGTTTTTAAAGAGCTAAAACAAATTATTCTTATACTACCAAAATTCTATTCTAAAATCAGTGACACTAATGTGGTCAGCTCATTTTGATTCAAAAGAAGCTAAATTTACCACTATTTTTTTTTTCAGCAGTGATCTAAAAAATAAAATGAGGATAACTTGGTGTGTTTTTTAAACCCTGATTACTTTAATCACAGCAAGATGATTTTAATGAAAGAATATGAAAGGGAAGTGTTTCCTATGTAATTAACACACGCCCTCAAGAGAATAAAAACTAGCTTCAGAATAAGCAGGAATGTGTAAGTAGGTCAACCAGACACTAAGGAAAGCCTTGTATTATACATTGCAACGTAACCTAGCATCATAAAATTTAATGTCTCAGCTCAGAATGACTATTTTCCATGTGGCCAGTGTATTTGAAATATAGACTTAGTTCCTGTCTTGTTTGAAAAAAATAATTCTGATGGTATTCAAATGGAATAAATCCTTGAGGAAAACATCACCTCTTTGATGCCTAATAACAAAAAGATTGTTGATGTTTTCAAACATGTTCTTATTATCTAACAGAGACAAGTGTGAAAATGCTCTAATGAATGGAGACCAAACAAATAAACATAAACTTATTTATAGGTACAGCCTATAGTTTAGAAATATATAAAGTGGGAAAATTAGTATGTTGAATTCTTTAGATTTTCAACTATGACACAATTGAGTTTTAGTCAACCCAAGGAACTCAGGAAAAGTTGTTGTGTCAAAAAGTTGTGTTTCCAGCACATGTCAACCTTTCTGAATGTGAGTGTTTTTGTATAAGTTTGAATTTAACGGAGAAGTATTTTCTTATCTAACAGACATTATCTTTAAAATTACAGGCTGATATCTCCATCTAAACTTGGTATGGCTACAGAAACCAGCAGATCTACTGAAAGAAATATAAGGTAGAATCTATCTATCTATCTATCTATCTATCTATCTATCTATCTATCTAATTATAGAACTGATAAAGTACACTTTATTAGAACAATTTGAAAATAATAAAATAGAAAAAGCAGTATTCCAGTGGACTTCAAAATAGTGGGTATAAACATTTTTATAGGTACTTAAAGAATTGTTTCTTATATTTTTATCTTAAGCTTTGCACTAAGAAATCAATCAAAATTTTCTGAACATGGTCACAGAATAAGATTAAATCCCTCAGATGAAGGAAAGCACATTCACCTCTTTGTTCCCAACACTTGCCCTGAGCTCTATGGCATAGCTGGTGTGGTATATAAGTGAACAAGTAGAAATTCAGCCACTGAGTTGAATTTGTGGCACAACAGCTTTACCTAGCTTGGCTGTGTAGGCTTGTCCAGCTGTCTCAGTAGCAGGGACAGGATCACACATTGTGTTGACTCCACTGGGTCAAGTGACATTTGCCACGTATCTGTTCTCTCAGTGATGGTCCTGATTTATACCGCTTGTCTTATGTGTCTTATCTAATTCAGTTTTACAACAAATGAGTTAAGTAAGTACTCCATTGCATATAAGTACGACTTACTATCATTCATCTGTTGATGGACATATAGGCTGCTTCCATGATTTAGCTATTATGAATTGTGCTACTATAAATATGGATATCCTGGTACCACTGTAACATAAAGTTTTTAATTTTTTTTAGGAAGATACCTGGAAGGGGAAGAGCTGGGTTAAATGCATTTCTAGTTTTCATTGTTTTGAGGAATATCCATACTTATTTCCATAGTGATTGTAGTAGTTTATCTGCCCACCAACAATGCAGAAGGGTTCTGTTTTGCATACAACCTCTCTGGCACTTGTTATTGCTTGATTTCTTGATAATAGCCATTGTTTTAAGAGTAAGATGAAATCTCAGTGTTGTTTTAATTTAATGACCACTGATGTTGAACATTTTAAAATGTATTTATTGGTAATTTGTGCTTTTTCTGAAAAGTGTCTATTCATTTCAGTTATCCATTTTTTGACTGGGTCTTTTATTTTGGGGAATCTAGTTTTTTGAGTTAATTACGTAGTCTAGACATGAGTCCTCTGTCTAAGGAATAGCTGGAATTTTTTTTTTTTTTTTGCCATTTTGTAGGTTTCCTTTGCTCTGCAGATTTTTAATATTGATATGATCTCAATTATTGACTCTTGGTACACTTTCTTGTGGGCAAACTTTTAAGCTGAGAAATGTTTTGAAGTTCCAAATTTACACACTTATTTTGATATTATCCACTGTGAGTCTCAGAAGAATCCAGGTTGCAAACACACCGTTGGGGAGATTACTGTGTTGTACTTAAGAAATTAAAGCGCAGCTCAGTGTTTTTCATCTGCTCCACATGCTGCATGATGTCGATGCATATTCTGTGAAACAAAGACTTTTCTGTCAATCAATAGTTTAATGGAACATTTAGGAAACAGAGCTAAATACTGTCTTTTGCAATAAGACTTTTTCACAATCCTTGGCGAGCTCGTGTGTGTTCTGAAGCACCAAAGTAGGTTACATTTGCTAAACTTGATGACAAAATCCGTTCTTCATGGAACTCTACTAAGCTTTTGTGAAACATTTGTTAAAAACGTCTCAATTATAGGGGAACCTTGTGGATTTTCTTAATTATTCTTTTTTATAACCTGGAGAGGTTACCACGGGTCCACTTCCTTATGTTTCAGATGCTTTTACTTAGCCCATAGTTAAAGATGCACTTCCTCCTCCTTCGGAATCTTGAGAAGATAGATATTTTTACATCATTTGAGTGTTAATTCTCCTCGAGTTTTAGAGAGAAATTACTGAACTTACTTTTGAGTTTACCTGTGCAATTAGTGGATTTTCTTTCATAGGTTTTAAGTTTGGAATGTGGGAGCCATTAACAGTAGTCCTTAGGAGAAAATGCAGTTATTTCAGTGAGCACTAGATGGCAGAGCTGGCACTCTACAAAGTGTGTGTGTGTGTGTGTGTGTGTGTGTGTGTGTGTGTGTGTGTGTGTACAGCTGTCTGTGTCTATGGGAGATGCATGTGTCTGTCTGTGCCAGAAGCCAATATGATAGAACCATTTTGTTATTCTGCTAAACTCAGTAACTCTTAAAGAGGACATGGTCTTTCTTCACTAGAAACAAATGAGAAATTATAGGTGCTTCAAAACCAGCTCTACTGTCCATTGACCTGTCTTCCTTTTCTGCTGTTTGAAGGACTCGGGATCTTGATGACATCACCAAGGTGACAATGTCACTTCAGGAAACTGACAAGGGGTGAGATATCAGAGCTTGTAAGCTTAATTTTTTTCTTCTCTGTGTGCTTTGAAAATACCTACCTGAAACCTTTAAGAGTCTCAAATACGAAGAAATCTGTAATGCTATTTATTATCTGCAATTTAGAAGAAGAAAGTGTCATTGTCTCTGCGTAAGTACCTTTCAATAGTGGATGGAACTGACATTTACGGACATTCTTTCCTTTTCCTTCTGGAGATTTTTCTCATCCTGGGGACCTCAGTAGTCTAATATCATTCCTGGTCTCAGTCCAGCATTTGTGCTGCTGTCCAGGACTCTTAGGTGGTTCTTTCCCTCTGGGCCTAATCAATTTGCGGCCTCAGAGTTGGCAGGAAGAACTTCAAGCAAGAAACAGCAATAAATCACCAGGCCTCTCCTTAGCTGTCTCCCCAAAACCCCATTCAGGATGTCTTAGGTGACATTCGGCTTCTTCCCCAAAAGATTCTATTTCCAGACTTTGCGTCCTGCAGGCTCACCATTCTGGGATCGTTCTTGACTCTTTCACCCTTTCCCCCCACTATGTAGCACATATAAACTATGTGTCTAAGGTGTCTCATACACAAATCATCTCACTCCAGTACACACCCTCATTGATTTATTTATTTATTTTTTTTGTCTTTTTCCTTTTTATCGGTACCGGAAATCGAATTCACAACTGCCTGCTTGCAAGGCAGGTGCTTATGCCGCTGAGCTAAATCCCCAGCCCCACCCTCATTGATTTCTACATAGGTGATCACAGTAGCTATTCACATATTCTTACTCTCCTTCAGCCTTTCCTCCCTCTAAGCCACTACCTGGTTCCCCATGGCTCACTACACATAATCTCATTCAAGCCCTTTGCTAACCTGGCTCCAACCTAATGTTCCAGTTATTTCTGACTACATGCATGTGTTTATCATACAATAAAAACAAGATTAGTTTACTTTTTTCTATGATTACCAGATATCCTGCCTCTGTTTATGCTATTCCATCCACACAGCAACAGTTTCCGGCCTAAGGCTGAAATGTCAGTCTGTCAGGGCCTACACTTTTCAAAAACCCAGTCAAATATCACCTCCTCTGTGAAGTCTTCCCTAAAGTCCAGCAAGATGTGACTTTTGCCCGTCTAAATGACTGTAGCCCCACTATTTACACTTTACAATACTTAATGATGTCTGCTGTTGTTTCATTCTACTTGTGTAAATGTGTGATCTTCCCTGTCTTCATAATTTTCAGGGCAGAAAGTCTTTCTTATTCACCAGGTGTCATTTACGATGTTTGACGTGCTGCCTTGTTTAAAGGAGACATTTATATTGCAGATTATGGTACAATCAATCATGATTGAGCATGAGAAAACCTTGAGGATAAATACTCCATGGTTTAAACTCAAAGCCAGCAAATTTTTCTGTGCTTAATGCAATTTGATGATGACAAGATTATTACTAGAGATTTTTATCTCAATCAAAAGAATGGAGAAGAAGAACCAAAGGGATATTTGGTTTTTCTGTGCAAATTCATAAGCCAGCAGGAGCTCTGTATGCAGAAGAGGAAGTATTCTTAATGTTTCATTCCCATTTCTCTCTCCTCTAAGTTCCTAGACCTCTTAATTTACTTGTGTTTGAGGTAATGTTTTGTTTTCAACAGGGACTGAACAACTTTTTGGTGGGTGTTAAGAATGCTTGAAGGAAAGATGAGTGATGCTTAAGGAAATGATTGTTTGGCATAAACCAAAAACAAGGACAACAGCTGTTGACCTGACTTCCCTCTGTCTCTACACCCTAGAGACAATGCACAAATTTCACAGCTACATGAATTCATCCCAGAGAGAAGTTGCTTCTTTGATGTGGACAGGGATACTGTACTATGGACTGTCCATTGGGAATAGAAATGGCTTTATTTATCCAAATTGCTCTTTGTGGAATAGAATGTTACTGATAATCCGATTAAGAGCATTTAATGTGTTACAAATGCAATGGTGGAACTTAATATCCAAGCTTCTTATCAATTTACAGTCACTTTGAAAGCCCAAGTTCTTTATTTAGCATACAGTCTCCATTCTATTTAGTTTACCGCAGAGTGTGTTCTCATAGCTTCTGCTGATTTTCTGATGATAAGCATGAACAATTCCAGGTCTTGGGAATCTCATTATTGTGACTCATGCCAGTTAGAAAGGTCTGGGGCTAAATTTTACAAGACTCTTGGGTTGTTCTTTCTCTCTGGGCCCAATCAATTTGTAGCCTCAGAGTTGGCAGGAAGGACTTCAAACAAGAAACAACAATAGACCACCAGGTCAGGGGGCTGGGTAGAGTTTATCCCACACAAATGTTGAGCATTAATCAACTTTTTTTCTTGGTCAGGAATAGCAAATTTGTATTTTACTATTTGTTCTCAGCCTATTTATTCTCAATGCTATAATAAAGCATGTAAGTTTATTTAAAAGAATTCATCTGTGTGATGGCTGTTTACATCTTTCAAGGATCTCTCAGAAGGGTGCCCAGGACAGCTATTCTGATGATAATGCTGTGTTACATATAAATGACTCAGCCACCCTATGTTGCTAAGGGTAATATAAGATTTTATTATTCCTAAATTCAATTAAAATTGATATAGCAAGTATTTATTAAATTAAGCATTCAATATTTCAGGGTTCTATTTATTATAATGGCCACAATTAATTGAGAATTTATGATTTAACAGGAACTGTGCTGAGTATCATATGCTCATTAATTATCAGTTCTCTTTTGAGATGAACGTGATTAGTATTCCCATTTTATGGATGGAAAATTGAGAACAACTCATCTAGGGTCACTAAGGAGTAAATGGTGAATCCTAGATTGGAAGGACAGTGTCCCTGACTCACGATCCTCAGTGTGTCACCACTGAGTGTCCAAAAACTAAAGATGACTCAGGAAAAAAGAGGAACCTTGAGAAACTTTGGAAAATATGTAATTCTAGAGCAGCAAGAAGAGGGAACTAAGATTTGTGAATGAAAAAACTAAATGAGAAAGTGAGAGGAATGCTGGGGGGTGGGCGGAAGAGGGAGAGAGCAGTTGGGGAGAAGGCACACTGAGGAGGAGTGAACTGGAGGAGCAGCCAGCCTAGGCGCAATCTCAGGGGACGCCTACCTCCCCAGGATGCCTGCCTGGGAGAGAGCCGAGCCCATGTGTCTAAGGGAAGTCTCTGAGTCCAGAAGTTTAGCTTCAACAGGTTGCACCAGAAAAAACAACCAGCAAGGATGCTGCGGGTCTCAAATATGGAACTAGCTTAGCACGTTTGGCTGATCTGGCATGAGGTGACGGTAGCATTCAGGAATCCACACTTGGCGATGAGTGGGTACAGTCCACTAGCCACTTTGTGTGCAAGTACATTGTACAAAGATGTAAGCTATTATTAGTCAATATGTCTATATTTATTGACTTAATTAAAATACTGTTGTCTCGGTGAAGACATTATATTAAAGATTGAAGTTGATGTGGTGTAAAAATACATTGCAGAATTGAGGCAGGAGCATAAATATGAGGCAAGTGAGCAACTGTTACACTACAAAGCGCAGTGAGCAGATGTCCATAGAGGAGATGCAGAAAACCTGAAATCTTGCAAGAGTTGCAACAAAGTTCATTTGGAGGCTTCTCTGAAGGGAGACTGGCATTGAAGAATGGCCTTGAAGGATAAACAAGGCTCTAGTGGTCCTTCTCTTACATTCAGAAAACTCAGGAAACTCAGAAAATTCAGAAAACCCAGAATTATTCTAAGGTTTATCTGCCCTTTGATTCTGGATAGGTTTTTAGTAATGTGAGTTTTTTGTTCTCTTCCCAAAGAAAAGAGTTGGATAATATTATCCAAATGAACAAAAGCTTGAACAGGTAAGAATTTAAGGGTTTTTTAAATTACTGAATTGTACGTTGAGACTTCTATCTTTTTAGTCTTTGAGTATGAGAACCACATACCAGGATAGTAAAAAATATCTTATAAATCTTGAATAAAAAGCTTGCAGAAATAATAATTTCATCATTATTGTGTTTGTTTATTAGAAACTGAAAATATCAATATTAAAATGTCTTTCATTTTCATACTCCATTTTTTTACTAAAGCAATATTATATGAATGACCATTATTTTCTTCCTGAAATATTAGTGCATTCATAACAGTTTGGTTTGATTGCTAATTTAATTTGGCTATTTCAAAACCCACAAATAAATTAGTTAACTATCTCTTTTTTGAACTATTTAAAGAAAAACAAATAATGGGGGCAAAAGGGTATGTACAATTTTAGTTATTTCTGTTATGAAGTATGCTAACCAATTTTAGTACATGCACTAAGTATGCTAACTGAGTCAACTGGCAGGAACCAAAAACAAAAAACAAAATGAACAACCAAAAAGGAGTAGAAAATTTTAAAAAATGTCAGGTGAGCTAATTGATTTGAGAATCATGACATATGGTTTTCGTATCTTGTTCTGATACTGATGATCTGAGGGATATTGACAAAGCACTGGCATTTGCTGCTTTTCAGTCATCTCACTTACAAAGGGAGAGGTTTTAAAGCAGGAGTCACAGAAGGCAGATAGGAGAGCAGAGGTGGCTGATCTGAGGAGACATAGCTAGTGGTGGGCCACGGCAAGAAAAGTGACTGTGCTGTCAAAAGTACCTGGCTGCCTTCTCAGCGGCAGCTGAGGGCACCCACGTAGGAATTTGGATCTGTGCTGCAGGAAAGCCCAGAAATCCAGGACCATGGCCGCGTGTCCTGCCATTTCTGTAAACACTGACTCACATTCAAAATGAAAACACGTATCAGACACAGCACACCCATGTGCCTGCTGTGCTGTGCAGATTCCCAGTTTGTCTTTTGCTTCATTTCTCTAACATCTGCAATTTAAATTTTGAGTCTTTGCTTGAAATCAAGTAATTTCAAGAACTGAGGCTCATCTTTCTCAAGCCAGCTTCTATTTCCTGTTTTAGATGTAAACTGATCTGTTGATATAGTGTTGAGTATCTGTTATTATTACTGATGTGATTTTTAATGAATCTATTTAAAGGAATCAAGGTCTTGATGGTCTCTTCAGAAAAAATTGGAAGGCAGAACAAATAGAGAAAAGGTAAGGGCATTTGTCTCTGATCTGCAAATCCTGTGTTCCAGATTGCTTGTGTTACTCCTTCAGGCACTATCTGAAAGGGAACTGCATCCTCTGGCTTGCGAATTAATTAGCAGATGGGCTAGCACTCTCCACATCGAACATTTAGTTCAGACATAATTGCCCAGAAGGATTTCTGCTCTTTCATTCAATGGAAGTAAATGAGCAATTCATGGAGGATGTTCATTGTATCTGACCTTTCAGGATACCACACAATTTCATTACAATATGTAGGGTTTTACTGGAATTTTTCTGTGTTTATAGAGCCAAAAGTCTTGAAAGTCTCATCCATGTGGATACCCAGATGGACAAAGATGACAAAGGGTAAGTTTCAGTCAAAAGCACGACAGGCCACTTCTGCTGAGTCCTAAATTGTCTACTGTGTTCCGGGGGACTTTCTTAAGGCAAGTGTCAGGCAGGTTGACAAAAGGGATGCTGGGTCAAGGTCCAGTGATGCTAGGTGTCTCGGTGGTGTTTTTGCCATTGGCATTCATCTGGATGCCCCTGGGCAAGTGACTTAGCCTTCACAGTCCTTTGTTCTTTATCTCATTAAATGATGTGTCTGGTTCAGGTGATCTCCAAGTTCCTTTTTATATCTAAAAAAGAACTCCAAACTAGCTGGTACAAGTAGTGGACAATAGTTTTCTTTATGAAAAATTTTTACCACTAGACATTTAGGGTTCTAGGAACATAACCATTCACCACTAAAGTCTTTTAAATGTGTAAGGCACTTTTCAGTTGGAGTCTTGATAGGACTTCATATGTATAACTCTTCATTTGTATTTGTAAATTCCTTATGATCAAAAGCCATGTTTTCATTGATTTTGTACCATAAAATGGTTAATTAATGGTGACTAGCTGGATTAAGTAGAATGTGAAAAATTAACTCACAGTTTTAAACATTCTAATATAGTGGAAAATTGAATTTATTACTGGTATTACTTTTCATGCTGAAAGAAACCACATTCTTGATACTTTTGTTAAAGAAAAACCCACAATAGTCAAGGGTGACAATTGGTGAAGATTTATAAGATTTCTAGTATTTTCTCCCATAGTTTGGCTGCTTGCTTTGTATTTGGTTAGTCATTAAAATCTCCTTGCTAACATGATAATTATTTCTACTGTCACAGTTATTTTAGAAAACCATTTATCTGGGCCAATCTGTGCACAGAGTGCTATTCTAACTTTCCAAGTCAATCTTGGCAGATGCATTCTCAACTCTTTCTTTTATGGAACACTTAACAAAGTCTATGTGATGAAAAGTGTTGGCAACAACAATCACACAGACACAGGATGCTGATTAAAAATGCATTACTGTGTGTAAACACAACACCATAGTAGGTGTTTTTTTTCAAATGGAGCATAGATGAAGGTGGAAATCAGTCATTTCTCTTCAGGTGGTTACATGGATTTCACAGGAAAGGATGAGATCTCAGGTATTTAAAAACATGGAGTTGTAGAGATCCGCAAAAGTTATGGTGAATAGGAAAAATAGAATAGGCATCACAAATGTATCATTTTGGGGTCAGGAAAGAGAACAGGAAGGTGATTTGTAATGGGGTAACTTGATAACACTGGACTCTGTGTGTGTGTGTGTGTGTGTGTGTGTGTGTGTGTGTGTGTGTCTAACTGATACTGGGAATTGAATCCAAGGGCTTAACACTGAGCTATATATTCAGTTCATTTCACTGTTTATTTCTTTTTTGAAACAAGGTCTTGCTAGCTCAAAATTATAATCCTCTTGCTTCAGTTTCCCAGAGTGCTGGCTATACAGCCTGTGTCACCAAGCTCAGTTTTCTCCTTGACATTTTTAGGGTAACTATCTTAATCCTCATTATATTTAGATTTGTGTGGTGATCAGTGTATTTTCACCCACATTCAAATAATTTTCATGCTTAGATAAGACACCATTTCAATGTATATATTAAAGACCTCTTCCTTCCCCCTTCCATCAAAAAAGCAAAAGCTGAGACCCAAAGGGAACTTTTCCTTTAAGATGATTCAATCATAAGTGAGTAACGGTTGGAATCTTGATATCAAAATGTTTCTTGAGTATTTTGCACAACGAGCTGAATATCGATACAGCCAGTCCTGCTAAGGACATCTAATCCTCTACACTGATTACATCTTTCTGCTGTTGTAATGAAATCTGTTGTTACTGTAGAGATTCTGAAGATAGTGTTGAGTTGCTTCCCATTTCTTTCTCTTACTCTGTGTTTTCTTTTTCCTCGATATTATAAAGAAACCAAAGCCTTGGAAGTTTTAATAAAGTTAATCAAAGGACTGACAAAAATGAGAAAGGGTAAGTGAAACACCTACCTTGCTGGAGCTCTGTTTTCAGGTTAGCTTCTTATGCCTCATTAGAAAGGGAGTGTCATGCTTTCCTCTGCCAGTGATAACCTGTACAGATCCAGCAAATCCGATGCATGCTCTTTCTGTAGACCCACATATTTGAGTTGCCCTGAAATAGGTGCAGGAAAACTTGTTACAACATCTCTTATCTGGATTTGCTTAAGTAATTAAAAATAAATCATTTTAAATATAAATTGAGAAATAAAATGTCAAAATTGCAAAGTGAGAGGAGCTGGAAAGCTTTTCTAAGCTGAGTTAGACTAAGCTAAATGAGGTGCTGCGATAGAAATAAACAAAATTAAGGGTAACTACATTACAGGTCTTTCTGGTCCTGAAGACATCTGCCATCATATCTAGGCACTTTCTTCTTTGTACAAATTTCAAGGACAGCTGTGTGTAATCTAATAGGTACCAAATTGCTGTACTCAATGACAGTGAATTTGATTTTTTCCCCAAAGAAGCCGAGACCTCGAATCTATCACCAAAGTGGATTCCAGGACACATAAAACCAGAAGAGGGTGAGAAGTGTGTGAATGTCCCTGAATGTTGGTTATCTTCTCCCAGATCAATTAGTTATGTGCTCAGTGACGCTGAAGGCATCACGTCTCTGGGCTTCTCGTCTCTTTTCCGGTCTCACATCTCATTGCTGGTGCCCTGATCTTTACTTTGAAGGGTTTACATTGTATTTGATCTAAATTCACTTTCACATATGGCCAATACAAACTAGAGACTGAGTAAGTGTATTATTGTAAGGTAATTTTATGCCAAAAACTGATTTAATCTCAATAATTTTCCCTGAAAGATTGGGTTAATAGTCAATAATATATAATATGTATTGTGTATCTAACATTTTGAAACATCTAAACTTTTTTAAAGAGGTAAAGATCTTGATAATATTATCAAAGTCAATCTCAACAGAAATGAAAATTCCACTGGGTGAGAGTTATGTCTTTATTTCTAATTGCTGTAAAAGATGATCAACCAGAGGATGAAATGATTTGACTTTTTAGCTTCATAACCATATTTTATTAGACTGCAATTGGACAATAAAGATGGACTATCCATTCTTGACCCCTGTGAAAGCACTTGTTTTTGAAGTGCTCCAATATTTGCTTGTAAGTTTCTGGGGCCCCATCCTTAGGGAACCTCATTGGATTGGCTCACATGTCAATGCAGCTGTGAACAGGAGACAACATGGCAGTGATGATCATTTCCAGTGTGGCTCTCGAAGCCTCTTTTCACCTCTTTCGAGTTCAGCCTATATTCGTTTCACTCAATGCACTTTAATGGGGTGGAGTGTGTCCTGAGAAATGAATCATTAATTTCCCTACTCAATAAGGTATTTTTTTCCTTGCCCTTTGTAACTTATCATAACTGATTCTGAGGCAAGTGATATTTTAAAAGGCTTTGTTGGGCGGGGAGGATATTGTGAAGGCACATTTTTTTGAACTTTCATTATTTCTAACATTGTTATAGCTATTGACATTTTAATGATTATTTAATATTGGAATAGGCAATTATATATTATTTGTTGAGTAAAACTTTACATTTTCTTTGGACTCAGTATAGAACTTCAGCATTGAAGTAATGTAAGTTAAATGTTGAGCAAAGTTGTTCAGTGACAACTTGCACATATAGTTATGTATTCTGAGCAAATTTGCTTCTTGTTAACAAGTGAATAGTCTTAAATTGTCCTCTGCTCAAGATGTAAGAGAAGAATTTTCATCTGCATTTAGAGATTTAAATGTTTACATTGCCACAGAGAGCTTGTATATTTATCTCTCCTTAATTTTTCCAACCATTATTCATTTTATTGTTGTTTTACTTTACTAACATTAAAACTAATGAAACATTCATTAAAACCAATTTCTTTATTCAGAAGACAAGATTTTGATGGGCATCTTAAAGTGAATCTTGAAACAAATAAAAACATCAAAAGGTAAGACATTTAAAACTTTCTCCTCCCTTTCATATGGCATTAAAATTTTCATTGCCCATGTTCAGACAGTGGATTGAAGTTCAAGCCAAAACTGAGCTCTTTTCTTTCCAAATTTATATTAAGCAACTCTATTCATGAGGCACAGACATCTCTTGCTATCTATTCTGGAGTGCTTTGCTATCCAATGATTTTGTGAAATTAAATAGGAATTTGACCAACCTTATGTACTGAGCTCAATTATTTATTTTTGTATGAACATGTAATTCTACATGTGTATAAGTGCCTGTATATATGAGCAGTGTGGGAAGTGTATGTGTGTATAAGTATCATATGTATAAATTTGTATTTAAGTACATATCTAAGTAATGTGCATGCATATAAATGTATGTGTATGTATCCATATTTTGCATGTACAAATGCATATGTGTTTATACATGTGTGCATTTATAAGGAGTGTGTGTGTATGCTTGTGTATGAACTGTTTGTTGTATTTGTGTGTGTAGCGATGTGTATGTGCATGCAATGTGGTAGGCATTTAAGGATGACATGATTAACAAAGTGAGCTCAGTTAAAAAAACGTTTTACCCATGAATGGTCAAGTCTGGAGAGTTTATGTCCTTTTGCTTTTTAGTTTTTACAAAACAGATGGAATATTTTGAAACTGATCTTATTGGCATGGTGCTGAAAACAGTGTACCAAACAGTTCCATGTGGTTTCCCTTGAATTCATTTTCATTCAGTTAACTCGGTACATATTATTTGTTGACTCTACAGAGGGCCACCAGTACCCGTAGACTCTGTTGGCAGAGTAAGGGCTCAGCTAGCTAAAAGCAATCGAGTGTGTGCCTGCTGAGCAGCTGTCTTGCTTTTGGCCACGTAGTGAGGTCACAGGAAGAACCACTGGATGGAGGAAGGGCTTGTACAATCCTGTACCCAGCAAGATGTTTCAAAGGCATTGATTATGTTGTTTCCTGGGTGGTTTATGGAAGTAACCTGAGGTTGTAAATCTGAGCAGGCAGTCTGAAAGACCTGGGTTTGAATTGTGACTCTTAACTATGTCCCTAGTATCTCAATTATTCATCATAATGAAAATATCATAATACACTTATGCCTGCTGCATACTAGACAGAAGTCATTGTTACAGTAGTAAAGTTTCAAGTGAATTGTATTTTCTTAGTGATGTAGATAATATTCAAATACTTTCATTTATCTTGATTTCCAAGAAGCATCTGTTTTCCTTTCCAATTTTTATTAATTTCAAATTGTGACCTATTTTTCTTAATATCCCAAGGGTGTGTACATGCCTATGTATTCACATGTATTATATACAGATACTATTTGCATGCATGAGTACTTCTATGTGTGTGCATGTGTACATGAGTGTGTGCATGTGTGTATGTTGTACATGAGGGCAATTGCATGTATGTGCACAATGCTTGTATATTCATAAATGTCTGTGTATGCATGTGTGCACTTTTGCATCTATCTAATGCATATGTATATAGATGTATTTATGCATATTTGAGTGTATGTGCTATGTGTGTATATGTGCTTTCTGGGGGCTTTTAAGTATAATAGATGTTAATTCCTTTTTCTACACATAATGAAGTTCTGTATATCCTTCAAAAAGAATCAGATCTTGTTCTTTTCCTTTCTAAAAACCCAGTATTCCCTCCATATCAGGTAGAATAAAATTCTAATGTTTAACAAAGGGCTTTCACTTCCTCAAGAAAGCTCTGACAAATGCATTTTTCCTATCCTGGGTCATTACTTCCTTTAAGTTTTCTTCATATACTGTCCCTACTTCTGGGATATTCTAGCCCTATATTGGCATGTTTTTAACCACATGCATTCTGATCAATGAATATAATTAAATCACTTCCTCCTGCTCTTTTGACTACAACGTTAGGCACTGGGCACTCTTTTATTTTCTTCGTAGTTGATGCAGGAGGATCACTACAGGTTCAAGGCCAGCCTGGGATACATATTGAGTTGAAGGCAAGCCTGAAGCGCATAGCGGGATTTTTGTCTGAAACTCTACCCCTCGGGGAAACAAACAAACAAACAAACAAACAATATTGCCATTAAGCCCTCTTGAAATACTCCCTTCACTTAAAACACTTTGATCCCATCATTGTCACTTTCTGAAACGGACCTGGAAGTTCTCCTTCCTTAGTGTCTTTATGAAGTGAGACCAAATATTCAGTGCAAAGATAATCTTGTAAAAACATTATGGTGTGTCTTAATACACCTTATTCACTGGATCTGACACCAAATCTGATTTTTGGCTCTTCCTCAAATTCATATGACTGTGAAAGGCAATCATTTTGAATTGATGTAAGCCACCAAGACAGCCTCAACTGTACACCTAGATATTCATTACAGGGGCCTTCCAGAATTGCTTCAAAAAGTGGCAAATACAAAGGGATAAGTGTGTTTAAAGGGAGGAGAAACTTCCTCAGGGAGATTCATAGTGATGTAGTTTTTATTGTAATACATTTTAAAGGTTTAAATATTCACTGTAGTTTTCAATTACGCCTTGTACATAACACTGAGGAACTGCTTCCCAGAGCTAAACTTAAATATTGTATCATTATGTTAATTAGAAACCACATTAATTAGCTCACTTTTCTTTATTGACTTTATGAACCAATTTTTTAAATAACCTGTTACTATTATGTGCCCCATTTAATATTTAAAGAGATAAAGCCTTGAAATAAAATTAAAGCAATATAATGAAATTAAGAAATTGTAGTGCTTATTGTTCTGTTATTTTTTTTAAAATTTTGAAGTCTGAAAATAGAAACCTGAGAATTTTTTTCTCTGAGGTCCTGACATTCAAATCCCATATAACTGTTAGGCAAGAATCAACAAGGGGAAATCTGGAAGACAGTACTTGTTTCTTTGGGGTTGTTTCCTGACTTGCAAGATGAAAGTCTACATTTTTGTTGACGTTTTTGTCTGAGTTTCGTATCTCAGACATCTGTGTACAAACAACAAACAAACAAACTTGAGTCAATGTCCGGTTACTCCCAAATATCTGTAACTTTGATGTTGTTTAGATGAGACCTCTGAGACTTTTCTATACATTCTTCTAGGGTCAGAGAATGTGGGGAGTAGTGTGAAAGTGCCCTCCTGTGGATGGGCTTGCCCACGTGTGGTATGTTCTGCAGATCAGAGTAGCATTTGTTGGTGCTGGATGTGTGGAAAACACATGTAGATGCAATAAGAAAAGCAAAATTCCAATAAGATCAGAATCAGACATATATTAAAGGACAACAATAACATCCTGAAGCATTTTCTGGGACTTATAGTTGATATATGTTACATTTCAGAATTCCATAGAGTTTAATGTTACTGTTTGTTGCCAAAACAATTCATCAAAATGTGTCATCATAAGCACCAGGAACAGACACCACATTGCATGTAATGAATATTAACAAAATGGGATATTTGCCTTAATACAGTTTTGTGACTCAAACCTGCCAGTGAATCTCAAATGAACAAAACATGGATTCTTTGAAGTTGCTTTTGAAGCTTCATACATGTGACAGGTTAATATTAAGAGTGTTTGCTTTTGGAAGTTCCCATAGGGCAGGTATATAAGCAAACGCCAAAATGTTTTGTGATTCTGGCAAAGGCTAGCATATAGTATTAAATGCATCAAAACATAACATATACTAGAGAAAAATTTACTCGTGGCTAAATGGCTCCAAGATGAAAATGTCTGCATCTCAGTGAGCTTCAGAGATGTGTAGATTCTTATAGACCTCAATAGTCACATTTAGTAATCATCAGCTCTTTGGCATGAGTTCAGTGAATGTTTATACCATTTGTGAATGTTAATGAATAGTTTCATCCACTTGTTGAAAATCTACCAATTAACGTCACTGTCTGTTCAATATTTTAAAGCAGTCGAAGCCTTGGCAATCTGATCGAAATGAGCCCTGGAGGAAACAAGAATAGGCACGGGTGAGGATTATGTCTTATTTCTCTTCCTTTCACTCCTCATAATTTTGTGACACTCGTAGGAGATCAGTTGAAAAGCCTTTGGATTGGAATTTAGAAGTCTGAACCTCATTATTCCCCAGCTGGATGTCGCTGAGCAAAGTCTCTTGGAAACTGGGCTACAGCTTTTGTTACAAAATGAGGACCATAGGGTTTGTTCTGTTTGGCACTGTGCAGGTATAAGGATCAAATGCAATAATACATATAGAGTTCCTTTAAAACTACAAAACTATTAGCAAAACAGAGTTGTTATAGCTGTAACCTTTGATGCTTAGGGGGATGGAGTGAAAGTTTTTGGCAAATCTTTATATTGTTCCTGAGTCAACTAAAAAAAATATTACCCAAAATTTATGGTTTTATTTTAAGGGTAAGTGGGAAACTAACCCAAAATACCAATGAAAGTAAAAAAATTAAGTATAGACTAATACTGATTTCTGTCAAAACAGTAAAATTCATGTTGAGCAAATATTTTTAAATCAAAACAGCCAATTGTTTTAATTTCATTTTTATTTTATGTTTTTGTTGGTTTTTTTGTTTGACGTTTCAAAGACCTTAATAACCTCAAAAATGTCGAACAACTGGAAAAATTCTTCAAGGCTAACCTTACTAAGCTCCTCTTTTTCATTTTATGCTAATCAGTGCTTAAAAGTATAACTAAATTGTCACTTGAGTTCATTGATGGTGAACCCAGTGATAATTAAGAAAAGCAATACAACCTTCGTTATCCTTTATATCTAAAATGTTAAAGATTTCAGTCAAGTGATTTCAGATACAGTCAAGTATCCTTTGATCAGTTAGGTTCACAGTTGCTTTCTCAGAATGGAAAAGACTTTTTTATTTGTTGATGTATCAGCTTTTCCTAAGCAGAGAGGCTGATACAGTAGAGGGGATGAGTACAGAGAGATGGTAAGCTGGAGCTCATAGATGTGAGCTCAGGTCCCGGCCTGCTGTGTGGTGGTTTCCGACTTGTTATTTCTGTTTGTGTTTTAGTTTTTCCTCAAAGTGAGAAAAGGGGGCCGGGTGATTTCTAGACACTTCTAGGACTAATTCAGAAGTTGCAGTAGATCATTAGTGTCACGGTAAAGCCCAAGTATTCTGGACCTAGTGTGCCTAAATTAAATTCTAGTCCTGCCACTAGCAGCATGGCTGGAAAAGTCAGTTATTCTTCCTGTGTTACAATTTCTCTATTATTAGAATGATAATACTTGCTGTGTCATAGGATAGGTTTGCTGATTATACTAAGTCATGTAAATTACTTTAGAACAGTGCCTGGCACATCAAAAATAAAAAATATTCTAAAAACATTATTCATTATTTCTATCTAGTTACAGTTAGGTCCCAATATAAATATTTATATTCAGCCCTGAAAAACCTCAACTCTCTAAAATGATAGCTACTTAAATAAATATCTTAAAATATTTCTCAGTTTTGGCAAATATCGGCATCTGTTTGATGTAGTTTGATCTGGTTTTTCTTCCATTTTTTAAAGGGGCCAAAGTCTTGATGTCTAATTAAAGTAGTTCCTGAAATGAACCAAGCGTAGGTTTGTGAAACTCTTCATCTCCTGTTTTTGAATTCAACTTCAAAAAATTGAATTTAAAATTATGATAAAAGCATTGCCCTGCCACTGAGACAATCAATGATAGAACCTAAAATCCACAGTCCATTGGCCACCAGCCCACTGAGCACTGGTTAAGCCCTTGCTCAACATTCACTAATATGGGCTTTTGTGTGACAGACAATTCCTTGAATTAGACAAATGATTCCTTGCCAGTGTGGGATTTGTGTTCCACGACTGAGACTTCCTTCTCTAAGAGATCCCCATGAGATAAAACACCACCCCTAAATAATTTCCTAAAGCTAAGCTCAAGGAAAAGTCTTCAGGTGATCAACATTTTCCTTCATCATTTATTCCCTCTCTTCTAATTGTGTATCACCTGAGCAGTCCTAAACTTGGGCAGTCATTTAAAACATTTTTTTTCTGTTATAGAAAGCATAAAGACTACAAAGAATGACATTTACATTTTATAGAGAAATTTCTGTAAGGCATATAATGTTAATTAGACAAAGAGATATGAAACTATGACATTATAAACGTACATTATTATGCTGGTTTGAAGATGTCAAATATGTAAATACCAAGATACATCTCTTTTTTTCTGACAGATTTCCTGTCTTACTTTACATATAAGAATACTTTTGATTTTTATAGTTTAGCCATCAAACACTATTTAGACTAGATTAGAGGTCAGTAATTTTTTTCTTAAAGGACTAGATAATAAATATCTGAGGATTAGGGAACCAAATAGTTTCTCTATTACTAACATAGTAAATTCTGCCAATATAGTGAAAACAGCCATAGAAAATACCTTATAAATGAATGGGCATTGCTATGTTCCAATGTTTTATTTATAAGAACAAGGCTGCAGGCTGAGTTTTGCTTCAGGGCCACCATTTGCAGACCCCCTAGACTAGATACCATTTTATTTGGAAAGAGGAAGAGAATTAACTCTGAACTTGAAGAGAGCCAGCTCACCCTCCTCTACCTCACTTACAAATGTAGAGTTTCATTCTTTTATTATTAAACTGAAGATTTCATAACTCTTATTTCAATATTTAGTGCTAAATTGTCCTTAGATTTATTTGAATAGGATTAAAACTCTATTGACAGGCACTGGATTCAGAGACCAAGAAATAATTTACATTACAGGTTAAGTCTTTTTTTCTCTTCCCGGAAGACTTGGGTTCTAAAGGTGAAGGTGGCCTAAATTTGTGACCTGTTCTAATAGCCACATGCTGCTGTTTATTGCACTTAGTGTGTATATATTTTTTCCACTCGGCAGTGAGATTTTTGACTTCAGAGAACTTTTTTAGCCATGTAATTTTGATAAAATAGCTTAATCTTTAAGCCTCAGCATCTTTACCTGTAAAATCAGGAGTTAACCTCCTCCTGAGTCACAAGAAATATTAATATGATCACGCTTGTAAAATATTTATTATACTTTATCTACCAGTATTATTATTATAGTTCATATTTTCATTATTGAATCAACATAGTATTCCTTGGTACTTAAATAAGGTATAACAAGTCTTTGTGAAATTATTACCATTGAACTTTTTTTGACTCACAAAATGATATTTATATAATTTAATATCATAGAGAACAATAATTTCTATGGGGAGATATGTACATAATTAAATGAGTCTATAGGTTTGTTTCAAAGGACAGCTAAATGAAATGCCATTTTAGTCTTTCTTTTTCTTTTTAAGATATACAACGCATTGTCCAATAATAAAGGATACTGAGTTAGATTTATTATTCAAGACTTTTGGTATTAAGCCCTTATGAATATCCAGTGTGATAACAGCACTATCTCTTTAGAGTTTTGTTTGTCTATTTCATTGTTTAGAATTAAAACACAAATTATATGATCTGAACTCTTGTTTGTTATGATTAGGCTTTGTGTGAAGTATGATTCTGAAGTGATTTAATTAATATTTTGAAGTAGAATTAATATCATATCTTCAGATTATATAATTACCTGCATAATTTAGAATCAGGAAATAAGTCTTTCTAAAGCATTTCAGTTTTTGAATTTTGGTTTCTTTTGGAAAGGGGAAGCAAAGAATACACGGAAATTATAAACAATTTTATATTTCATCTTTCTTACTACAACCTCTGAAAATACATTGTGCTAACAATTCTACTGTACAACTATAATATGGAAAATAAAGAGTTCATAAGTTCACAATTGTACTGTGAAGTTGACTTGACAGAAATATATACAAACTAAGTTCTGATATACACAAAGTGTTCATGAATTGAATGGACAGAAGTTACCTGCTTTTACATGGGTTCAAAAAAATAATTCAAGTGGCGATGGAGTTTTAAAATGGCAATAGTTATTTGATTCAATATTAAGGTTGAAAAGCACAAAATGGTTGGTTTAAGTTGTCTTTGTCAGATGTTGAAACTTAGAACATTTATTTTTAGGAACCAAGACTTGGATAATCTTATCAACATGAACTTCTCAGCAAACAAAAGGTAAGCTTGTTAAGATTATTGAAGATTCCTGAAATTCAGTATATTTGAAAAAATGATTATTTAGCTAAGGCTATTTTGTAAGAAGATATGAAAAAAATGAGCACACATTGATTTGTTTGTGTGTAACAATACTAGACAGATTTTTCTTTGTTATTGATTCCATTTATTTCATTGTAATATTGTTGAAAATGATGATACTGAAGCTAATTCTGTATAATTACTACTTAAATTCCTTGTGATGCAATAGTGGCTTAAATAGATTATAAGTGTAAATTTGTAGTTAATAAATCATAAGTTAATAAAACTAAATAAGCCAAAGGATACTGGCTTTCTGCTCTCTCATAAACCCAATGATTAATTTTTAAATGACTGTCAGAAAACCAGCAACATAACATTCTTGTATTTTGTTTGAATATTTTTGCACGACATTGAATTTATTTCTGTTCTTGAGAGATTAATGTCTATAATAGATTGGAGCAAAAATTAATGAAAGCATGGCAGAGAAACTCTAAAACATTTTTCATAAAATTAGTGTGGAGATAATGTTGGCAAAAGCAATGTGAAAGTAAGTGGAAGGAATTACTGTGAAAGCCAGCACAGAGGGAAGGAGTGTGGACTTGTCCAGGTTTCAGTTTTGTTTTGCTGTCAACTGCTGTTTGAATATCTGGCTCCAGGAAGTCTCAATCCTTCTGAAGCCTGCTCAGCCCAGTTCCCTTTTATTTTTTCTCTCCATTCCTTTCCTTTCCTTTCCTTTCTTTTCTCTCTCTTTCTTTCTTCCTCTTTTTCTCTCTTTTCTTTCTTTCTTCTTCTCTCTGTCTCTTTCTTTCTCTTTTTTTCTTCCTTCCTTCCTTCCTTCCTTCCTCCCACATCTTTCTTTTTATTTTTGGGGAGGGCAGGGTCTCACTTTGTAGTTCAGGCTCGCCTTGAACTCACTATATTGCCCAGTCTGGTCTCAAAATTTATGGTAATCTTTCTGTCTAGCTTCCTGAGTGCTGAGATTATAGGCTTTGATACCACACTTAGTGCTGAAGCTCAGTATTTTTTTAAATAAAGTATGCTAATTATCTACCTCAGTAAGTTGTTTTGAGGATTAAAAAATGGTAATTACTGTATATAAAGAATCAACTCAACTGCTTTTCATCCTTTTCGATACAGCTATAAAAAAAAGCAAGTAAAAAATGTGCTGATTTCCTAATGGCTTTGACCATTTTATTTTATTTTTTTTAGCAGTGAACAAGGTCTTGATGAACTTATTAATATAAACCCCAAAGCTGTCAAAAATATTGCTGGATAAGAGAAAGATATTTGTTTGATTGTCTCCCCCTAACTAATCACAGTATGAATATAAATGACATGTAATCATTTTATGGGCAAATTGAATATAGATCTTGAAATATCAGCATGAATTTTTAAAGTCCGTGAAAAACCTAGATATGAACTGCAGTACTGTTACTAGCAAGAAAGAGAGGCAGCAGAAAACAGTGTATGATGGTGACTTTTATTCTCTCAAATAAAGTGGTTGAAAAGAGAGACTGGCTAAGGGGTGGGGCAGTAACAGAGCTGGTTCATGAACTGTTTATATTTTATTTTGTTTGTGTAGCATTGATCTTCATTCTTTTGACTCTAGAATTAAAATTTATTAATGATAGTTAATTTTTAAAATGTACCTAGACACTTAGTTAAACTCATTGTTAGTAATGTCATTTACCTCCTTTTGGAAGAGTGTTCTGAGAATGAAAGTTTTATAAAGTTCATTATTCCTTCCCGTCTTATTTATTGATTTATTTAGTTAGCTTTTTTGAAACAGAATCTCACTGGGTAGCTTAGGCTGGCGTTGAACTCAATATGTAGCGTAGGCTGACCTGGCACCTGTACTGATCTTCCTGCCTCAGCCTCTGGAGTTCTGGGATTACAGGCATGCACCACCATGCCTGGAGAGGTTCATTATTGTTTAAGGAGTTTGCCACTCCCATGAAGGATGTGGACCTAAAATTTTATAATTTTAATGTAGTTCTCCAAGGTAATAAAGTTTGCTTTTTAGTTCTGGTTAGTTTGAACAATTTTAAAAGCCATTGTTCTGGGGGCTGGGGATTTAGCTCAGCAGCAGAAGCACCTGCCTTGTAAGCAGGCGGTCGTGAGTTCCATCCCTGGTACCGGTAAAAATGAAAAAGACAAAAAAAAAAAAAAAGCCATTGTTCCAAATGAACTGTGTACAAGAGGAAATGGACAGTACAAGAGGACTCAGAAAGGTTTCGTGATTTGACCAGAGTCACAAATAAAATTCATGGAAGACTGATAGTAGTTCTGTGATCTCTGAGGCAGTGAATAATTACTGAACACCTAGCAGGTTCACAGCTTACAACTAGGCATCATTAGTTGCACGTTGGGTATAATTACAGGCTGTGGACGCCAAAAAGAGAATTCAGTAGTCATACTCAATCTTATTAGCAGCAGGCAATTAACATAGATTAAAGCTAATTATGTATCAGGGGCACAGAGATGTTCCTCCAAGACAATAATAGGTTGTCAGTTTAATATATTACATTTTGGAGCACTCATGTACTGCTTGCTGAATATAAAATGTATTGTCAGCAGGTTGCATTTAAAAAGAAAAAGAGACATTAAAAGCAGGTCCAGTAAACATGACATACAGTAAAATCCGTATTCATAGGGTCCTGGAGTAAATGTTGGCGGTGGAAAAAACCTTGGAGATGATCCAGTCCGAGTTCCTCATTTACAGATGAGAAGACTGAGGGCAGTATTTTAGGTCCTCAGTCTTCTGAAGGCTTCTCTGACTCCCCATTTGATTCTGGTCTTTTCACACAGACTTTGATCTTCAAGTAAACAAAAATTGGTTAAACACCTTAGGTAGCAGTGGAGGATATGAGGTAGGACTGACGGTTTTGTCCTGGGACAGCCAGGTTATGTCCTTTACTGCTGTCACAGGGCTACTTGCAGTATTACTTTATGCATGACAGTGGCGCAAGTGTGGAGATGATGCAAATCTCTGCAGCCTTGAACTACATGGAAATAACTATACCTGAATATTTGAGTGTATCCTTTCCTTCAGCCTTAAAGCAAAGATGAAAGCAAGATCTTGAGTAGGAAGATGGTACAATCTAGACCACAGATTCCTTTGTTTTCAGGATCCAAATACCGAAAAGATGTCAATGTATTTCTTGTCTTCAATTAATTGAGATAAATTGTATATGCTATCTATTAAATAAATTCAGCCTTGTTACTTAGATCATTTTTATAGTATACATTTAAAATACATTTTGTATGTATTTTATAATGCTGACTTTTTGGAAGTCATCGTAGGGCATACCATATATTTATGCTTTCTAAGTAAATGTTTCTCAAAACAGGTGGGTCATCACCCGTTAGATAGTTTTGTAATTAATTTAGTGAGTAGCAGCCAGTACTTCCCCTCATTCAATAGGATAAATCAAATGGAAAATCAGAGTGCCTTTTAAATAATAAGGAACTTTCATCATGTGATGTGAGTGTGTGTGTGTGTGTGTGTGTGTGTGTGTGTGTGTGTAAAGGGGAGTGTTGGGCACATAAAATATGTTTCTTATTGGCTTTTTAAACAGAAATTTAAACACCATTGTTCTAGGTTGTTGGATGCATTAAATATTTTATGTTCAGAAAAACAAGTCCAAGTAGATTTTGCATTTTCTATACTGCTTATTCTTAATTATACGGGCACACATATATTATAAATAGTTATATTTCAATTAATTTTTCATTACACTTACAGTTCAATTCATTTTTTATAATGTTAATTTTTGATTAATATTATAAGTAATTACATTTCAATTAATTTTTTGTGTCAAAAAGTTATGGCTTTTAGAAATACTGTCTCTTCTACAAAGATGCATTCCTTATTATTGTTTTTTTGTAGTATATTAAATTAAAATCATCTTAGGCACTGTTGTCTTTTTGGCATGGTTTAGTTTTGACAGAGATTTTCTTTAATCTCTATTTTTTCACTTAATCATCACAGCACCTGTTTCATAACTAAAATTTTATCAGTTTATTCAAGAAAATTAGGCTTTGGATAATTCTCATTTCCCAATCATTCTTTTACTAGTTTTTATAGCTACTAATAGATTGTCTTTGGGAATATTATTACAGAGTATAATTCAAAACCACGGGACTTCAGTTAGGATCTTCCGAGTACCATGAAGACTGGAGAACAGGGAAAGAGACCCTTAACAAGGGCACTGAGAGCTGGGAAGCACATTCCCTGGCAGGCTGAACATTTAAGGAGGGGAACAGAGACCTTTCTGAGGTGGCCTGATGACTCATCTTTAAATGGCTTCCCCTCAGTTTTTGGCTTTGCATCAATCTTTTTGATCATTGAGATGCATTTTATTTTTACATAAGGAAAAAGGGCCTCTTGAGGAGGGGATATAGGCAAGTTGCTGCCATGATGGCACTGACAGCAGGGATTATCAGTCCTGTTAGCTCTTGCCATGGCACTGGCTGTGTATTTCTCTGAGTATGTATTAGAACAGGGCTGCATAGACACTTTGACAGTCCCTTAAATGAGTCTCACTGAGGCAGTGAGCGGGCATCAGGTTGGGGGAAATGCCATTCTGTGGCTGTGAAAAGAAACCAGCAGAGCCTCAGCTGATCAGCGGATGACTGGTTTTCAGGATGCACAGGTAATTTCATTATGAACAACTGAGTTCACAGTGAACAGCTAGTTCAGTCATCATACAGGACAGAAAAGTCTCATTTTAGTGTATTTTTAGCATCTTGCTTGCCAAATCTAAGCTAAGAAAAATTTCAATTTTAGAGATTATCCTTTAAAAATAACTGGTATCCTTATTTGGTGAACATGACTTTCAAAACAGCAAAGGCATTAGAATCATTTTGCAATCTTTATATATTTGAAATATTCCAGAGTAAAACAATCATCTAGTACTAGATGTGGGCTGTGGAACACTTAACCTTTATGCCTTTTTAAAATATGCTCTGACAGTAAAGTGTGTGAAGTCAAGTTAAGTTTTTTTCCCCCCTTACAACATACTTCTTTCTCCCTTGGATTGTTAAAAAAATGTACTTGATAGATATTCTATATCAAAACAATATGTTTCATACTGTAACGTTTTCCTCCACTTAAGTTGAACTTAAACTCTATTATCTCTAACCCAACAATCTTTAATCTTTTCCCTCTTGAGTGTTTTGTTTTATTATTATTTCAAGTAGATGTTCAACCTTAATGATCTTACCAAAAGAACTTTATCATGACTCTACTGTCTGTTTTTCTAAGAAATCAATATCTGGATGACCTCATCAAAGTGAATTCCTCAGTAACCAGAAATAATCAAAGGTAATAAAATAAAATCAGTTAATTCATGTTTTCTGTCTGTTGTCCCAGATGAAATGGATTTATTGAGCTTGCCTGACCTTTTTCTGTTCTCTCTCTCTTTTTTTTGACAGCCTAGATTTGGACAATCTTATTCAAGTGAACCCTTCAGCTCTCAGAAATGTTAATCGGTAAGTGACCTTGCCTGACCAACTTGACATATTCCCAAGATTCTAGGGTTGGAATTTTTCTTCTTTCATTGTTGTCTTTTCTGTGTCTTGAATGGGGACACATTTATGAACTATGTGTCCCCTTGTAACAAGCAAACATATGGTATATTTCTAGAATCAATCACATTATTTTTAAATCACTTCAGGGCTTCTTATTTTCCTAGGACAACTTAAAGTTGTTTTTTTTTTTTTTTTGCTACAAAAAGTTAAGTTTCACGACTTAAATGAACTATGAATAAACTTAAATTAAGAAAAAATAGCTTTAAGAAGTAGATGTTTAGAGTCTTCAAAATTCTAGATCCATAGCTCATCTGGGTTCACAAAAATTTAACAGCAAATTTTAACTTTGAACTTTCACTTTGAGCTCTGAACTGTCTTTTAATTGCTATTTTTGCATGAAGTCTTTTACTTAAAGTGCTTTATTAATAGATAATGTACCAGTATACACTATGTTACAAGTCCAAATTGCTTTGCAGATTTGCAATTTTATCATAATAAGTAATATCTGGGAGTCACAGTTCACCATTGAAATGTATAGAACAATTTATTTATGAAAAAATACTTCGACTTCTCTAAGGGAAAGAAAACGATGCAACACACTAGCCTAAGTCCTTTTTTTTTTTTTTTGTTTTGCAATGGTGTTTTATTTTTTTCTGTTTGTAAGTTTTTATCATCGGGATATTGGGGTCTCTCAAGCAGAAGGCATAAAAGACAGTTCAACAGCAATTGCTACTTGAGAGTAATTATGGAGCACTAGGGAAGTTTGTACACATTTAATCCTAGAACAACCCTTTGAGATATGTGTTCATGTATCTTATTTGCAGAAGAAAAAACTGTAGCTCAAATATACAAAGTAGCCTTCTCAAGAAAGAAGATATAGCATATACTTACACTTCTGATGTCACTGCCTAAAGAAAAATATATCAAAACTCTGTGGTTAAATGATCTCACATTTTTCCCACCCCTTATTTATGCCATCTATGCTTTTCCTCACACCTAAGGAACTACGAGCAGATATGATTGTTCTAGAGAACTAGTATTAGAATTGACAGGGAGAAGAGACAACACCTGCGACACAGAGATTTTTTTCTGTTGGAGTCAAACAAGGGCCTTGCGCATGCTAAGCAAGGCTTTGACTATTGAGCTACTCCCTAGCCCTTGCGCTGAGATACCAGCAGGCTTTTTGATGTAGAACCTACTACTGAAACTGCATGAGTAGCCATTGAGTAGAACCATTTCTCTGTACTGGTATTTGTTAGAGTGGAATTTTCTTTATATCAGCAGCAGCATTAGAAGGTTCCCAATCATGTTGGAAATAAATTTAATACCATATAGTGATACTTAACTAACAATGGAAAATGTATTTTTCTTCCCCCACCTCAGTCTCTCCCTCCCTCTGGCAAACGTGCTAGGTAGTGGTAACTTTTCCATAAGTTTTGCCTTTTGTTTTACTGCTAATACTTTTTTTAAAAAAAGGTATTTTGGCAACTCCTAATCACTATCTATAGAATGAAGACACTTTCCTTATAGCAATATGATTGCTAAAGAAGAAAAGTTTTAAAATATTGGCCATCATACTGTTTTATGATGGCACCTTTGGCTGCAAAACTAACCTATGTGCAGTTATTCTTTAGTAGCATTTCAGGTTTGCTGAGAATCAGCCAAGATGTTCAAGAATTGGCATAGAGCAGAAAAATGAAAACAAACAAACTATTTGAAAAGACAGCTTCATTTCATTGATTCAGCCACTACAGTGTACACCTATTGGCCTTTTGATTTTAATGCAGGGAAAGAAAAGAATATTTTGAAGCACCTCTCAGTAGGAAGGACAGCCACAAGGCATTTTTACATCAATTCAGTGAGGCACAAATGCTTATTATTTAATAGCATTAAATAGCATGACAGCAGTGAATTCTTTTATGTGACTTTGCTGACATTTCCAGCAGCTGTATATTTAACTCACAGGTAGGGACTGAATAAACTTCAGTCATCTATCACAATGCAAGCAGCCTCTCTGGACTCTATAGGAACACAAAAACTGAAACAAGTACAGATATGCACAGAATTTTCATTTATTCAGGAAGAAATCATATGACTTATCAGTAACATGAGCAAATATTAAAGAAAGATACCAAATAATCTATAGCCTACAAAATGTTTTTGGACTAACTAATAAAATTTCACCCCCAAATGGTTATTGAAAAGTGTATCTAGTGCCACTAAAGAAAAGACATCATTCACCTAAAGAAGACAAAGTCCTATCTGTGATATTATAGTTTTATCTTTTTAAGGACTTCCTATTTGTTAATGCGTTTCCAACAATTTAGTATTCTAACAAAAGAGAAACTTCTGCATGTATTCCTACAGTGTATTTCTCATATTTTTGTTCAATACATAAACTTTGGGATAACCTTGACTCTGTTGCTTCACTCTCCATAATCATACAACCACTCTGAATGTTTGTCCAAATAATCTCACAGAGAAGTCTGAGACCTGCTATGATTCCCAGTACCACTGCAGTCTGTTGACTGTTTAGCCTCCTAAGTGGTTCTTCTGCCAGTTTTGCCTTCTGCCCTTCAATCCAGGTCCTATACTGTGCAGTGATCTTCCCAGTACACAGATCTGATCATGTCATTCTTCTGACTGAAATCCTTCATTGGCTTCTCATTACTGTTGACTGGGTCATGGTCATACTGCTTAGCCTGGTATCCAAAGAACACCTTGACCTGGATTTTATGGGCTTTCACATCAGCATCTCCCGTTACCCTCCTCTTACATGTAAACTCTATCCACATCCCCTCTGTTTTGCATATTCTTCACTCGTCGTTCAGTCATTCATTTCTCTTGCATGGATAAGTTCAGGTATCAATTAGCTGTCTCTCATTCAAGGCTGTGGGAAGCTCCCTGACCTACCATGTCTGCATCAGGTGCTCCTCTAGATGTATTCAGGGTCTTTCTCCTTCCTGTCCTACATTTATCTTTTAAAAAGGATTATTATTTAATCATTTTTCTGACTATAGGGTCTTTAATGGCAAAGATTGGATTTGTCTTGTTGATATCTTTACTCAAAGTGCATAACACAGTGGATGAATGCCTGTCACGTATTAGGTGTTTAACAAATGTCCTGTGAATTAAAGGCTGATGCTCAAATTCATCAGTGGTTTATGACAGTGCACCTAGATCAAATTTACTGCCCTCTGGCTCTAACCTTCTGAGCATGCATCATTGAAAACAAATGGAAGAAATCTCTTTTCTTATAACTGGTCTCCCTGCTTGAGCCACTGACTATCCTGCTCATGACAGTTTCAATGAACAATGATAATCTAGAACACTGAAATTATCTGTTACATCTTGTATTTAATATGTTTACATCATCCAACTTCTCTATGAATCTTTGACTTTCTTTAATATAAAATATTTAAGATGTACTCATTGACAAATCTTATCAAAATATGTAAAAAAAGTGTAAAATTGGGCCTATTATCTTATGTCAGTAAAAAAATTATATCCGTTATTTCACTTAGTCTATTCCTTTTAGGGGGACAAATATCCCTTTAAAACTAAAGTCTAATGTCTAAGATTTAGTTACTAGTACTAAGGAAATTAAATAATAATTTTTATATAGAGTCTCTTAATTTGTAAGTATGCTTGATGCTTTACGAAAGCAAATTAAGTTCGCTGACTAGAGTGAAACATATTGCCAGCTATTAATACATACCTCCTACGCTCACGAGAGAGCAAGAGTAGTTAGGAGAGAGATAATAACTTTCTGTCATCAGAGCTTATCCTCCATAAAGTTTTATTGTAACAACCATAATTTCTTGGTGCCCCAAATCCATTTTCCCCCAAATCTTCTCTGTAAGAGAGTTTTATACACCTTAATGCAGCGTGGAAAATAAACTGCACTGTTATAGCATGAATAGATTCTTACACTAAAAAATTATCCTTTACCTTTACTCCGTACATAACTCATGTTTTCCTTCAAACATTTTTGAAATCTACGCTTTAAAAGTAGCAGTTGTTGCAATAATTAATAACAAAGTGTTTTATCTTTTTTAGCAATTCTTTGTGTCTACAGAGAATTAATGGTTTTCTTGGTTTTAATTCTAAGTGCCCGTAGATATACAAAACTGTAGAATTTTCTTTTTACTACAACTTCCATGGAAAGAGTTTGGAATAAAGCATTCGCTGAACCCTACAGCATTTGGCTTGGACTTCTATAAAAATCTATTTTTCACACTTTGACTCACAGCTCTTCATCTTTTGCCAGTGTAAAGACACCATGCAATAGATGTGGTCTTAATTAAAGAACAAAAAGTTATTCTTACACCCTTTAACACCTTTTAAATTTATGAGAGTCTGAACTTTTTTTTTTCTTGGCTCTTACAACCCAGTTAATGATACTAATCAGTGTAAGTATCTTAAATAAATGCACATTTTATGATTTTTATAGCTTAGAACTTTGTAGTTTGTTTTAAACATTAGTGTAATTGTTCACATTGAAGTCTTATGGTTCATTCCACTAATTTTGATATGTTACTATTTAATAAACAATAAAGATGCTATGAAATCACTAATAAACCCACTTATTCTATAATTTATACCACTTTGGGAATATGCTTTTTTGAAGGCATGCCTAGAGTATTTTTTAGTTATCTGCTATCGTTGCTAGATTTGTAAGATTGTGGTTTCCTCTCCTTCACAAAGTACAAACTCTGTCTTTCTCCCCTCACAATATCTTTGGTTCGTAAAGAGCCTGGATGAGAGGTGTAAGAGAAATAAAGATGCAGTGTCCACTTAGTCGTGTGTAAAAAGTGCCCTGGGAGTGGGAGATACCCAGCATCAGTCAGAGAAACCGAGTGTAGTCACACTGCGAGGTTAGAAGGAATCTGTACTGCTTGTTAGGGTTGCTATACCAAATTTCTGTAGGCTGGCAGCTTAAACCTTGAAATTCATTGTCT